AAAGAGACCCTTCCACATAATGCCTGTGATAGCAGCACCTGGGCTTTATCCCCAGGGAGATCTTGGGAGATCTTCTGCTCACCCAGCTCGTCCTGTCTGTACCCATCCCCTGTCTTAGGGACACCCTGTTTCCAAAAGGCAGATCAGGCAGTCAGCCCTGGGCCCAGTATCATCGTTGCTGGAAAGATTGCTCTTATGGGGTGGCAAAATGGAAGAGGTACATCTAATAGCTGAAACAAAGGACCCCTTAGCCACAGGAGGACACTATGCTGATACCAGGGAGGAGAAGGGTCCCAAGCAGCAAACACCCTCTGAGCCAAACTGGAAACTGCTGCAGTAAGCACTGAGAAGGGGACAGGGGAGGCTGCCTGCACTCCCAGCTGTAGGAATAACTGCATCACTCTGCTGGGATCGTGGGACACTCTCCATTCAATGGCTGGTCGGCAGGGGGTACAAAGCCTCTTCTGGTCTGAGAACCAGAACTGCTCCTGGACATCCTGCTGCAATACCAACCCTCCAGGCCAAGCCCTGATGGTTTTTCTGAGCAAGGATTAGTGACTGCAGGGTGCACAGGCTGAGGACCTAGGGCACCAGAATAAGCCCTGCTCCCAGCACCCCTGCACCATCTGTACCTTCCTTGCTTCCTCTCCCAGCAAAGTCCCCAGCCAAATCCCCTACTCGAGAGATGCCGTGTCTGTTACCTGCAGGGGAAGTCCTGCTCTCACAGAAATCCCTTCTGCTCTGAGAATGCCAGTGAGTGTTTCCCATACAGGGGGCTGATTCCGGCTCTCCATGTGCTTGCTTATGTAAAACACAGCTATAGTGCTGCCAATCATGATGTGAATCATCTCTCTCCAAGTGTGGGAGGAAGGCTCTGAAATGCCTCAATACTGACTCCTGGCTCCAGGACATAAGGTGAAGCAGTCCGTCCTGGAGTGCAAATACCCTGTGGCTGGAGGTAATCTCAGACAGCTCCTCCTGAGGAAGTGGCACTTCTGCCCCCACCCAAGGAGCAGTGGCAGCCCTTGCACATCTCCCAGATCCTCCTCCTCCCCACCAGGCAAGGACACAAGAATGTCTGCTGCAGCATGCACTGGCACACCCCTGGGGTGGCAGTTTGGCTGATAAATAGGTTTTGCAAGAGAAACTTTCTGAATCTTCTCCTCCCAAATCTTCAACGTGCATCAGCCACTCAACACAGTGAGCCCAGGTGAGTCTCGGAGCCAGGCTAGGGTCATGGAGTTGCATGGGAATTACATCAGCTCTGCTTGGGGCTGGCAGGGCCCAGCCACTGCCTCCCATCCCTTGCTGGAGCCACATCCACCAGAGTTACACAGACCCTTCTCCCTCTCCACAGACTTCAGTGCAGCCATGGGTGCTGGGATGCACAGTGGGCTGGAGACCTGGGGTCTGAAGAAAGGTGGATTCCGTTTTCCAGGGCTGATTTCTCCATAACATGCATCTCATCCACACCAGTGAGCAGCTGTAGCGGCCGTACTTGCTGCTTCACTTGGGTGCTGTAATGCAGGAGCACCCCCAAAGGATGCTGCCAGCTTACTCAGCCTCAGCCAGAGCACCCAGCACACATGTGACACGCACGAGTGCTCAGGAGAAGATTTTTGCATCTCACTGCTCCAAGTCACTGCCCAGGTAAGAGGGTAAACGCACTTGGAGCTGCACAGGGCTGCAGTGAAAGGGGAGCAACACCAGGACTAACTGGACCAAAACAGAGGTGCATTAAATAAGAGTCTCTTCTGCCATTCCTCCCCCAGACACATAGTCCCTGCTGAGTCCCCAGTGAAGCACGGGATCATGCC